TAGGGGAAGTAGGCGCTGGTGGTGACTAAACCAACATGCAAATGCAGCTGGGCTGAGAGCAGAGCCGTCAGCCTGCCCAGCACCCAAGGTCATGAGGGAGCGCTCCTTCCAGGGGACCCATCGGCGGCCAAGCCATGTCCCAGCTGCAGTTCTGGCTGCAGTTGGCAGCACTCAACAAGGTAACCCTCCCGCTCCCCCTCAGGAGTCAGTCGGGCCCCCTCCCACCTGGCAGGCAGGTCCAGCCACCTGCCGACTGTGAGGACTGACTGGACCCACCAGATCCTGGGGTCTCCTCCCCTCCTCCTGGCTCCCGTAGGCTTTTTTTGGCAGAGACAGTGAATCTGCAGGAGTTTTCTGAGAACCAGTGGGGACATGGGGAGGGACCAGGGAGGCGCTGCAAAATGAAAGTGCTTGTGGCCAGAGGGGGAGGTGGGAGGGGCTGTGTCTGTGTGCTTGCTCTGGTCTGGGTGGTGAGAGTCTCACTGGCTCTGGGGTGTCCTAGGGCAGCCATCAGTCTCTCTGCCAGCAGCAGTGGACACAGTTTGGGATTGGCTCTGACTGGACAGGTAGGAATGGGTCCCTGTAACAACTCCTCTCCCCATGGACCCAGGCAAGCATTCAGCCCCTGCCCCAGGGCAGTGAAAGAACCTGTTTGAAGGTCATTTCTGGGGTCTGAGCAGCTGTAGCCATCCTGCGAGAGGCCCAGAGCCAGGTCAGGTGTGGGGGGCCATCTTGTCCCATCCAGCTGGGCTGTGGTGGGGAGGGGGGCGCTGTTACTGTCTGGGCAGCTCCAAAATGGCCCTGCCAGCTCCTTACCTGGTTCACGGGCTCCCAAAATGCTGCAGATATGGTAACCACAGCAGATGACCCCATGCTCTCCTGGTCCCCCAGAACTGTCTGGGTAACCAGCCAGCTCCCTCCCCATTCAGGGGCTGCAGCAGGGGCCCTGGGGTCTGGGGAGCAGGTGCTCCAGGTGGTGACCTGTGGAGGGTGGTTTTGGGTTTGAGTGGTCTTGGGGGTTTGCTGGTGGCTGCTAGGAATTAGGTTCCCACACAGGCTGGTGGGCAGGCTGCCCACCCTGCACAGGCGGTGGAGCTGGGAGGTGCTCTGGGGCCTCACCTCCCCCTGGCCCCTGGTGACCCGTGCGAGGCCCCTCCTCCTTTTGTCGGAGAATCCAGGGACTCCCCCCCCCC